GGGTGGGCTGTGAGGCCGCACTCGCGTCCGTTTCGCTGCGGGTGGCAGGGGCGCGGGAAAGCGGCGCTCTCCGGCAGCGGAGTCGTAGCCCCAGTCATGGTGGAATCCGCGACAGAAGAACGGCTTTTTTTTTTTAAAAAAAAGCAACGATGTGGAAAGATCACTTACAAATCAGTGCTTTATTTAATGCCTGTTGTGTTCTTTTGTCTCGTTGCAAGGTATTCTGTTTGTCTTCTGTGTAGGTGGAGAGAAAAGGTGAAAACCCTCTCTTTTTAAACTGCACAAAAAGCTGTAATATTTCACTGCCTGGGTCTCCAGACGGTTGCTCCCGTCGATCATCACGCAGTGAATGCTTTATGTTACGACTATCAGTTGTCATGCATAAGTTATCTTCAATTAGTGGCTAATCATACTGGCTCCCACAGAAAATCCACAGTGTGTATATTCTGCTATAAGCGGCCGCGCCCTGAAAGGCAGACGGCTGTTCTGCTTGTGTTACACTTGCTTATGCCAGTGAAGAGTTGATTTATCATTTGTTTTAAGAATCCAGTGCCATGCCATGGCACCATAAATTCATTTTGCAATAGGCACATGGTAAGTGACATAAGAGAGAACCAGTTTCCAAAATGTCAGCTGGTAGATGTTAAGGAACTGATTACCATCTCCTTCCATGTGTCTGATGTGTTTGTATCTAGGCACAAGCAATTCTTCAGCTGCAAAGGCTGTGACTGAGAATTCCAAAGTTGGTAAAGTTTGTGACAATGATACTTAATTTTAGCTTTTGTCTTACTGTGTGCACCCCCAGCTCCCAAATGGCACACTTGTAATTCTCTTTAAAAGTTGTCTGCTTTGGCTGTGTGTGGATTTGGAAGGGGCGTACATAACTATGCTGCTGAGGAACTATTTTCAATTTGGATAATCCTACTGTGAAGTAAGTTAAATACATAAACATGGATTCCTGAGTGTTTCGTACAGAAAAAAATCACATTGCTGTATAAACCTGTATTTGATGGTTTCTTTGTGAGATTATTAGTAAAAAAAGAACTGGAAGGGTCTTGAAAACTCTGTAATTTGTGAAGAAAAGACGATATAAAGGTGTTGTGCTTCAAGCCCTGCAGTGTTTGAGGGGAGCAAGGGAGAGAGAGTGCTGAATGCATCATAAACACCAAGTATAGAAACTGGGATGTGCAAACTAACATAGCTTCCTGAGTTTTCTTGCTGGATTGTCAGGTTTAGCATATGCTAATTTCTTTCAAACTGTTTTATGAATATTTGATCATTAGTGGCATTGTATGCACATTGTTTCATAAGCTATTGTGGTACACAACGAATTGGGAAGTTGAAGAGGGATATTTATGTCATATAAGGTGAATGAATGCTACTACAAGTCAGATGACTGGAGTATAATTCTGCAGTTTTCTAACTGGAAAGGTTTTTTACCTTGACATGGTGCATTTTCTTTTCCCTCTAGTTTGCAAGTTATGTGCTCTCCGAAGATTTTCCATCCAGCCTGCCCAGCAGAAGAAGATTCCAAACCGGTATTTGGGCCAGCCCAGCCCCTTCACACACCCACACCTTCTCAAACCAGGTTAGGTTCAGACCCTGTATGAGCCAATCATTGGTATTCTTTCCTGCCTCTATTTTTCTGAGATGTGTAGGACAGAGTATTGATTTGCTGCATCATACAGGTGTCTGTGATTTCAGCTGTTTATGATTACCTTCATTAGGCAGTAATTATATTTAGTAGTTCATTTCCTTGTCTGAGATGATATTGATTCCAAAAATAGGCTTCAGATGTTACCTTTTTCTCATGGGGTGCTCGTTGTCACTTACTTCAGTTCTGCAGACCTTTCATGGCAGTGGCATTTTGGGAGCTCATTGTCCTGCAAATAAAATACAATTTATATTAAGGGAGAGTCCTTTGTGCAAGCTGAACTTCCAGAATGCTTCGTATCTAATGTCTTGTGTGTCACAAAATAAAGGTGTCATTCAGAAAAGGAGATCGGGACTGAGAGATGGACACCTAAAGAACACGCCCCCTTCAGAAGAGTATTCAAGCTGTGAGGAAAAGAGGCTTGTGGCTATAAAGTTAGATGGTAGTGATGAAAGAGAAGCTGAGGTTGTGCAGTTTTATGAGATGAATGAAAATGTGCATATAGGTATGAGAGGACCATGATTAAGTCTTAAAAGGAAGTAAAATTATTCAAGAATCTGTCCAGGAAAACATTCTGGTACTGTCTTCTTTTTCCATAGATAGGTATACAGAGAGAACAGATGAATATATAACCGTGCATTTACATATTTACCTGTAGAATAATTCATGTCAGAAGGGACCTTGGGAAGTTACTAGGTCCACCCTCTGCTCAAAGCAGAGCTAACTTCAATATTAGATCAAGTTGCTCAGGGTGCTGATTAACAGCTCATAGTAAATGAGACTGACACTTTAAAAGTTCTCACAGCTGAAACACTGGAGATTAATTCTAGCTGCCCATAGTAATTTTCCATTTAATAAAGGAGTGGTGTTTTCCTTAAAATAATACAATACATTTTAATTGCAATTATTGTTTTAAAAAGCAAACGTCTCTAAGGCAAAGAATTTCCAGGCCTTGCAGTCAGAAGACAAACGAGATTACCATGTTCCACCCTACTGCAACTTCTAAACTTCACTGGACTGTTTGTGGTACTTAGAAAGCTGACGAGAATGCAGCAGAGCACAGAAAATTCACAGTGTTACATTGCAGAAATGTGGGATCAGATTGCATTAAAACAGTTTCTGTGTTCTCTGTCATTTCTAGATCTACAGAGTAAAAAAAAAAAAATTGCAGTTTTGGGTTTTTTTTCTTAAAAAGAAAAGAGACTTTTGCACCAAATAGGTGTTGAGGATATATGGTGTTGAAACGGTGTAAAGTTTAACGCAAATACAACATATGTGATTTTGTTAAACTCTCTTTTGTCAAGGAAAAACATTATGGATAGAACTTTCCCCTCCTACCCCATCCATGCAAGAATCCACTTACAGTACAAGTCAAATTTCAATTTTTATTCTAGAATTGCCACTGTGCAATATATTAAAGAGGAAGAAAATATGAAAGTACAAAGTTAACAGTATGAAAATGCAATCTATGTTAAAATAGGATATTTAATCAAAGTACTGATTAAGGCTCATGTATTAATTTAAATCATAGTTAAGGAGTCTCACATTTTTAAAAATGCATACTTAAGCTGTAGTTGGTTGTTCTTTCAACTTCAGTCCGGTTTTGATGAGTATCTTGATCGCTGTACTTCGTATCCTTCATGACTAGAGCAGTTTAAAATATACTTTATCTAAGAGATCATTTGTTTAGTTAGAGTCACTAGGAATATAGTATTTAACTTTAGAAAAATCTGAATTGTTAATTATTGAGAAAAGCTACATCTGCCCTGGAGAAGATTCCTTCTTAATCGGAGTCTGCCGCCAGCCTGCAGTTCATGGTTTCTTTCTACCTGGAATCTTGTGACTGGTTAGACTGGTTACAACGTCTGTGTTTCTGCCTGATCTCCCAGTAACACTCAATCCGCCCCGTATGGTTTAGAACTATTTACTTTATGTGTTGACTTAGTGTGTATTTGAATAGACATTCTAGCTTTATCTGAGGAAATTAATGCTCAACCTCAGAAGGTAATCTTCTGTTCAATGTCCAGATGCTATAAAACCCATCAGTTTTCAGTAGTCAAAGTCCAGTTTGCCTTGCCCCTTCCCCTTTTTTTGCACATCTTTCTGAAAACTGATACCTGTTTTGTATGTTTGTCTAAATCTACCAGGTTTTGTGATTTCTGCCTTTGCCCAGAAATACATAACAGAAAATCTGATTTGTTAAAATAAATTTCTGTCTTAGCATGGTGGAGGAGCAGATTGAGTGAGGATGTGCTGTAGGGATGGAAGCTGAAGAGATGCGTCAGAGCAATGGAGAGGCTAATGAGGGGGCACAACAAAGCCATGCATATGAAAGGCATCAGGGAGTAGGCAGAAATCAGGCATATGACTAGTAAAACGTCACGAGTGTCTTGAATTTCTCGATCTGATTTGTTTTGTATTCACAGGAGAGGTAACCCCAGGATTGTCACAGGTGGAATATGCTCTTCGCCGACACAAACTGATGGCATTGATCCAGAAGGAAGCCCATGGCTGGAATGGATTGGACCACACAGTGATTCTGCTGTCCAACCCCACGTACTACATGAGCAATGACATCCCCTACATTTTCCACCAGGACACTAACTTCCTGTACCTCTGTGGGTTCCAGGAGCCTGACAGCATCCTGGTGCTGCAGAGCATTCCTGGCAAAGCGCTGCCCTCCCACAAGGCCATACTTTTTGTGCCCCAGAGAGATCCAAGCCGAGAGCTGTGGGATGGGCCCAGATCAGGCACAGATGGGGCAATTGCTCTCACAGGAGTAGATGAAGCTTACACCATCGAGGAGTTCAGGCACTTGGTGGCCAAGCTGAAAGGTAACAAAAAACGGAGGGGGAATGAGATGAGACGTGGTTTGGAGGGTCTGGATGGTTAGGGTTTGGCAGGTGGTCTGTGACGCCAATTCGAGATGGCCATGAACTTGGGGAGGTGCAGGGTGCATGACAGTATGTCAAAGGCATTTGGAAGTTCTTGTTAACTTCTTGAGGGTTACCAATGGAAATGTGGTTCTGAAAAGAATAGTTTTTCCTCCCCTCTGAATTTCTTGTGAATGCCAGTGTGTGCATCTGTGAACAGGATAAGCAAGAGAGTATTGCAAACTGTGTTACTGTTTTAGTCATATCTTTTTGCTGATAGACCCAGAACCAGATGAAGTATAGGAAACTTGAAGGTATTTTATTCATAATAGACTTGGAAAATGATCCACACAGGGAGGTTATTAGTTCACTCACCTTTTTTAGCTGCATGTTAACTTACTCTTGAAATACAAACATTATTGTCCTTTAGATACGTTCTTTTGCATCTAACATCAGCCTGTAGCCTCAATACTTATAATCCAGCATGAACTTAAATGCATTATAAAACGAAGTTGAAGGCTGATGACAATATAAAAAGGGCGAGTGCTTGTGGAATTACACAAATAAATAGAGTGAATGCTGGAGTCTTAAGTACCATCTCAGATTCTAGTTATTTTGTTTCAAAAAAGCATATATTGAAAGTAGAAAAGAAAGGGCAACAAGGATGATCAAAAGTATGGAGTGTGTATGAGAGGCATGCTGGACAAACCTGCTCAGTTTGAAGATGGGAAAAGGGAGAGTAAGGCATGTGAGATGTGTATGGTTATGGCAAGTGCAGAGAGGATGAGTAGCAATGATTAGTTGCTATTTTTCATAATTTACAAACAAAGGGAACACTGAATAGAATGATCAGATGGCAGGTTTTGACACCTTGTAAGTTTTAAGTTGTAAATCATTCGTGGAGGGTTTGGAATGTTAAAAGTATAAATGGATTCAAAAGTTTCCATTGGGGAAAAGGTCCGCAGTTAATCGCCGTTATGAAGATGGAGCCTCAAAATAAAGAAACCGGAAGTGGAGAGGATGTGCTAGGGCAAATACTCTTTCATAAATCCCCTGTTTATTAGAGACTTTTTGGAAGCACCTACTAATGGCTGCTGTCACCAAAGAAGGAGGAGCTAGGTAAACCTTACCTGGGACTCAGCATGGCTTTTCTACTCATTCCCATTTAAAATGGTCCTGTGGGGAGAAAGTGGGTACTGATGTTCTAAATAAATTTCCACATAGGTTAGTATGTTTGTCCTGAGTAAGTTTATCTTCTCTGAATGGCTGAAATAAGCAGTTGTTCCCCAAAGATGTTCTGAAGTGTAGTTGATAATGACCCTGATTCCATGCGATGGGTAAAAGGTAAATTGGCTTATAGCGTCAGAGGGGACAGGCTACGTGAGAGAGTGATTAAGAACATGCACCACTGCAGTGCAATGGCTACTTAGCTTACACAAATGCAACTTTGATATGCAAACCCTGAGTGTATCTGTGCAAGATACATTCAGTGATGTTCATAAAACCAAATATTTGCATGGAAGTGGGTATTTGTCAAATCTACATGCTATGCATTGATAATCTTCCAGGTTTTTTAGAGATTGCTAGTATTCTGTAACAGTTAAAGTGTTTATATGGTCTGTAAATGCAGATTCAGATGAAATTAATTTCTCAAATACAGCAACAGGTCTAATTTAGGAGGATTGAATTTATTCCGAATGGGGAGGAAATTTCTACATTTATCTTCGTCTGTGTCAGTTTTTGTTTTGTATTCCAGGTGAGTCAAATGTTGTTTGGTATGATTTGACGAAACCAGTGCATACAGAGCTGCACTCTGACTACATGCAGCCCCTGGCTGAGATAAAAGCTCGGAACAAAAAACACATCCAGGGCATCCGACATCTGGTGCAAAACCTTCGGCTGATCAAATCTCCTGCAGAGATTGAAAGGATGAAGATAGCTGGACGGCTGACAGCAGAGGTATGGGGTCGTGTGCTCTCCAAATGAACGAGTCCATTCCTTTAAAGAAGAAAGGGGAGAGGGTTGTTGATGGGGAGACATGGATTGGAAGGATAGCTTTGGTCTAATTTACTGAACTGCTATGTCTCAACCATTGGCTGGGCTCAGCTCAGCTCCCTCCACAAGATGAGGAAAACAGGAAGACTGCTTGGACTACCAGCTTCTCACTTAGTGTAACTCCAACGAAGAAAAGCCAGCAGCAGTTAGATTTGTTTAAAAGCAGTATCTATTCAGGAACAGGGGTAGCCTCTTTACTCTCTTCCCAACTTCTCCTCTCCTTCCCCATGCCATTTGCTTTCTCATTTATCCTGTTGCTTTTGAGGAAACTGGATTTTTGGGAACACATTGCCTGTATATGTCTCTGAATTCCCCCTTATCCCTCAAATACCTTTTGAACTCATTGGCCAATTTTAAACCAACCTGACAGATAACCTCAAATGCAGTTATATTTTTGTAAATATATTAAGATAGATAGCCAATTAGGAGAGGCACAGCTTGTCCTTCTCTAAAGGAAGGGAACCCATAGGTGAGACAATTTGTAAAATGCCAACCCATGGGATCAGCTTCAATCATCGAATCCTTTTTCAAAAAACAGTCAGTCATCCCCTAAATACAGTTGCATGGGAAACAGAGCTTAATTGGTTCTAGTCTTGACAGCATTCTGCATTTTCAGCTGCTTCTGGCTCCTATGTTCTGGGCCAGATGATTTTAGGCCTTCCTCAAAAGACAACAGGTTAAAAAAAAGAGCTTCTCTCAAGTTCAGGCTCCTTTGCTAACTGAAAGGTCCTTGCTTTTCATAGGCTTTCATAGAGACAATGTTTGCCAGCAAATCCCCAGTGGATGAAGCCTTTCTATATGCAAAGGTGAGTACTTCATGGTTGGAGATGAGATAGAAGGGCTGGATGTTGGTCATCCTTCCAGGAAATGACATATGTCAGATCCCTCTATAATGTGCCTCCCACTGTAGCACATTCCTCCTTCACCCAACTCTTGTGGTTCCTAGGACATGCAGAAAAGTCAATGTGAGGAATTCTTCAAGTGTACTTCCCATACCCTTATTGAAGGAATTTAGTGGTTGTCTAAGTTTATCTGCTATTGATGTCTTTTTCTACTGTATTTAAATACAAAACCTGCTAAACAATCAGAGATACAGTTAGTATATTATTCTATAATACAGTTCTATTGTACAGAATTTAAGTAGTTATAACACCTATTTGTAAAGCCTGCATTTCTTGACTCTCGCCTCTTACTATGTCAGATTACCACAGCTATCTTGAAGCAGTGTAGATGTCTCTCAGTTACAAAATAGGGACTAATTGGCCAGCACATTTGGCATGGCCTTTTGTAAAGAATTGCAGTGAGATGCCTGTTTGAGAAACATCAGCAGAATTTCACCCTCTGTAATGACGTAGATGGGCCTGTGCTGACATGGCATTGAGCAGCAGCACTGACTTGTAAAGAAAATCATTTTAATTACAGTGTATTTTACAGATAAATTTTTCAGTTCAGATCAGGATCATAAAACCTACTTTACTACATGTAGGCATCCTAGAGTTTTCTGTTCCACATGGTTTTGGTAATTATAGAAAAGACGTGTTACTAATATTGAGGATATAAAAGGTCTCTACAGATGTAAGTTTATTAATTTCCATGCTTTCCTCAGCTCATCATTCAAGAAGGGTAAAGATCTTGAGGTTTATAGTGCCTTTTTTTGTTGGTTTTTTCCCCTCAGAGATCAAGGTAGTGCATGCTTTCAAACCTTCTTAGTTCAACGCAGTCATGAAAATAGTGTGTGCTGTAAATATGCTGGTACTTTGTAATTTTAAAAGGCAACAGCAAAACACGGCTGTTGTCATGCTGACATTTAGGATTTTTGAAAATTCACAAAGTTGTATGGCAACTAAGAGCATTACTTTATATAAGAACAAATCCTCACCTGGATTTATGACAACGTAATGAATGTTTGATACAGCATTGAACAGCTTGCACCAGAAAGAGCTTCCATGAGACCAGATGCAGGCTTAAAACACTCTCTTGAGTGGATAGTTCTGTATTTTTTCCTCCAGTTCTTGGAAAACCTTCAAGGCTGCTTTCATTTAGTGAACTCACTTTCCAGTTTCATTCTGTGTCGTACAAATTAAGAAAACAGTTGTAGGACATGAATTATAATAGCCCCAGGGCAGTTAATCACCTGAATGGCACTAACAGTCTCCTCCTCTCTGAATTGGTATTCCAGTTTGAATTCGAGTGCCGGGCTCGTGGTGCTGACATCTTGGCCTACCCCCCTGTTGTTGCTGGTGGCAATAGATCAAACACTTTGCACTATGTGAAGAACAATCAGCTCATCAAGGTAAACCATATGCTGTCCAGTAACTTAAAATGCAGTGCTGTGACACACTGTCCCCATATGTGTCCCCCAGCTGCTCTTTGTTTTGACTGAACAGATCAAAACACTGAAGTATATATTTTCAAGCGAGCAGGGGAAAGGAGTCCTGCCCTGGTTGGTCTTACTGTCAGTGAAAGATTAACTTCACTCTGTCTAGTCTTTTTCTCTCCTCTTTGCACTTTCTGCAGTATTTTCTGAACAGTGGAAGGACTTGCAGACAAGCTTGCAAATAACTTCATGTAGTGAGCATGTCTGCTCCCGCACTATGTGCAGCAGTGTGCAGTGCTGGGTGGATTGCTAACCTCACAAAAGAGAGGGACCAGTGCAGCAGGCAGAGTGAAGGCACCGGGCAGGGGTCTTCTACTGTCACTTGCATTGCTTGGCCTTGCTTTGCAACGTAAGGTGTAATAGTGAATTCCTGCTCTGGCAAAGCTGAAAAGCATTTTGGACTCTGTGTAGGCCAGCAAAGCAGGGAAGAAGAACAAGGAGGGAAATGATCAGTTAGATGTTGAGAAGTGGATTAGGTGGCTGTAGGTAAATGAACATGTCTTGCCATATTTTGAAGATTCATATTATTCAATTGAATCCTCTCCAGCTTTCCTGACAATACACCTTTAGATTCAGATAAGTATTTTCAGGAGCAGTATTCCCCCACTGCTCTACTTACTATTCACTTTTCAGAGGAGCATATTTTTCCTCTGTCTTAATGCAGGATGAAACTTTCCCACTAGCATTGTCTTTTCTTGAAGCTGGCATGCTAGCCGACCTTGAAATGATCTGCAGAGACAGACATACAAAAGATATGACAGGCTGATTTTGGCAGAAGGAAGCCTCCTTTGTTGTACTGTCATCCAAGGTCAGGCGTGCTCATGTAACTCCATTTGCTTCTGTTAAAGTTGTTCAGTTAAATGACTGTCACTTGTTTTTTTCAAAACTGTTAAGTAGGAGGTTAAATCCATAAACTTGACTCTTTCTTTTCCTTTGTGTGCTACTTCCTACAGCTCTTGTTGCCAAATAGGCTAACAAATTGTCTAATTTGGAAGGTATCTGAAGGCTGCTTATGGCCTCATGTGGACTTCATTCAGTCCACCACTTAGTGGACTGAACTTTAAAGAGGACAAGATGCATGACATAAGGCACTTACTGAACAATCAAAGCACAGGCTGAATTCCTTTATCCAATAAATTGTTACTTAGCTTGTTAAATTGCTTGGAAGAGGGCAGGTGCTATAATTTCATATTTTACTTAAATAATTGTACCAGCTATTCTGAAAAAGTTAAAAATATAATTTAAATGCATAGTTAATGGCCTGTCTCTTCAGTGGGATAGTGAGATCTACTCACTGGTAGTTTATCTACTGTGTAAGTGTTTGTGGCACTTAACTGTACACAATGATAATAGCTAGCAGTGTTGTTGTGCTATCAGTGAAATTTGGCTTCTTATTTTTTCCCTTAACATGCAAAAATTATTCCTTGTCATTCTGCATCATGGCTGCTGGCAGAGTCATGGATCTGTGGAGTGAATCTTGATAAAAGGCCTTGGATTACATGTAGTGTAAATCCATAGAGGATTTAATCCAAACTTTTTACAGATCTCACTGCTCTATTTGTTGTTAGCCCCTTTAAGGAGGGAAAGCAACGCAGTGGTTTTGTTCCTGGCCCTTTGTCTTTTTTGCGTGGCTTTTTGGAAGAGGTGCAGTCAGTGATTTAATTGACGTGGAACAGTTTTGCTGAAGTGAATTGGAGGTTCACATCTTGAAAAGTTTTTTTCTTCATCACCAGGCAGATTCAGAAGTATATCTTAGACCAATCAAGAAAGTCCCAGAAGAGAACAGGGAAGATGGGTAGCGCAGAAATCTATGTTTTTGTTGCAAAACCCTTCTGTCTTAGTCACTAGCAGAGAACTACTAGTGAGAGGAGTCACTGGTGTAATTTGCTGGAGTAAATGATCCAGGTGTGAATGGGAGTGATGTCTCAGAGTGCAGAACAGTTCAAGGAAAATGTCTTTTTTTACTCCAAATTGTTTGAAAATCAGTGTGTTAAGAGTTTGGGCTCTAGATAAACATAACAGTCAGAGACTACCTTACAGACAAACAATCTGACTAGAATAGCCTATTTATAAACTGCAGCACCTGGGGTGTTGTTCTGCAAAAGGAATTCACATCTCTGCAGCTGATTTGCAAAAATAAATACATAATCTCCTTTCCTGCTTTCAGCCAAAAAAGTCAATTCAGTTAATAGCTGGACTGACCCACAGGGCATTTTTTCCTGTCATTCTCCAGGATGGTGAACTGGTCTTGCTAGATGGTGGATGTGAGTCTTCCTGCTACGTAAGTGACATCACACGTACCTGGCCCGTCAATGGAAGGTATGCTGCGATAAGACTATTTTGAAGAACTTATAGAAGCTCTTAAATAATTGATGGATTGTGTGTATGTGTGTTTAATCTCCATATAAGTAGTTTTAATGTGTCCCATTCTGTGGTCCTTCAGAGTAATCAAATTATATAAACTAATCTTCCAGCATGAGAAGCTGTATTCCCCACTGCCTCATTAATTACTGAGTGAATATGTGTGATTACTGCTATTTTCAGCTATTGCAGTATGCTTAAAGTGCAGAGAGGGCTTTTGTGCATTCAGCTGTGGCTGACTGTGTGTAAGAAAACAGGAGTCTAGTTGGCCTGTACATGTCTTTGTCAGTTGTGAATTTGCTGGTGTGATGTCCCTGTGGTTGTGTGTTTCATTCCTTTATGTTTTGGCTCAAGTGCATTTTTGTTCCTGCCTTGCTTTGAGGTTAGGTTGTCAGCTGAGAAACCCTACCTCTATCCAGTGTATTGAAGGGCATGTTGCAGTGATGCCTTGACTGGCATTTCATATAAGGAGTCAGTTGTTTTAATTTCTGACTTTCCCTGCTCCAACACTGAACTGAATCTGTCCCCGAAACAGGCTCTGGGTAGAGGTTTAGTTGTGATAAATGTCATTTCTTCCTTTTCTCAATGGTTTTTAGGTTCACTAAACCCCAAGCAGAACTATACCAGGCTGTCTTGGATATCCAGAAGTCCTGCCTGAGCCTCTGCTCCCCAGGCATGAGTCTAGAAAATATCTACAGCCTCATGCTGAGCCTTATTGGACAGAAACTGAAAGAGCTGGGGATCCTAAAGAGCAGCATCACTGACAGCCCCTTCTTCAAGGTACTTGAAGTTTTTTTTTACTCCAGCTTCCCTCTGACTAGGCCTGACTGTTTCCTCCTTGGGTTATGTTAGTGGCTTTGCTTTGTCTCAGGAATGTGCTTTTGAGATATATCTTCTAGGTGTTGTCACGCACTGTGCTTTAATTCATGTTGTGGGCTGGTCTCATCACAGGACTGGATTTCACAAAATCACAGAATCATTAAGGTTGGAAAAGACCTTTAAGATCATCAAGTCCAACCATCAACCCAACACCACCATGTCCACTAAACCATGTCCCAAAGTGCCATGTCTACACGCTTTTTGAATACTTCAAGGGATGGTGACTCCACCACCTCCCTGGGCAGCCTGTTCCAATGCTTGATGGCTCTCTCAGTAAGGAAATTTTTCCTAATATACAGCCTAAACCTCCCCTGGTGCAACTTGAGGCCATTTCTTCTCATCTTATTGCTAGTTACTTGGGAGAAGAGACCAACGCCCACCTCACCACAAGCCCCTTTCAGGTAGTTGTAGAGAGCAATAATGTCTCCCCTCAGCCTCCTTTTCTCCAGATTGAACAACCCCAGTTCCCTCAGCTGCTCCTCATAAGACTTGTGCTTCAGACCCCTCACCAGCTTCGTTGCCCTTCTCTGGACACGCTTCAGCACCTCAGTGTCCTTCTTGTAGTGAGAGGCCCAAAACACAGTATTTGAGGTACGGCCTCACCAGCGCCAAGTACAGGGACACAATCACTTCCCTGTTCTGTTTCTCTCAGACAAGGCTAAACGTGAAGATGTGTTTCAACGACTCAGCACACAATTTGGTCTGAAGTAACCCTCCAGTCTTACATGTACATAGTGTGACTGTTTGCTCCTCAGCATTTGCTATTTCACTTTGCAGCGCCATTCCCATTGGTCTGCGCTGCTTGTTAGTGTAGATGCAGCTTTAGAATACAGACAGTCTGAAGGGACCTACAGAGACATTGGCACTAACACAAAATTCTGGGTCCAGTGCTGGCTGTAGGCAATTGGTCATAGTTTTGTGATCTTTTTAACATAGCATAAATCTGCAGTGCCACAAAAAGATGCAGCCTGTTCTTCTCAGTTGCTGCACCTGCTGTCTCTTCTGCACCATTTTGTGCCAGTATTGGGATTCACAGAGCTACCTGGTGAGCAGACTGGGGAACTGGTCTGCCTTAGGAGCTGAACCTGCAGATAAAATAGGATTGGTTTGCGTTTTGAGAAGTTTATCTGGTCCCACTCAAACCTGCATGATTGCTGGTGTCAATACAAGAAGGGTAGCAGAACCAGGTGACAGAACTACCCCTTTGGCAGTAGTACAGATTTTTGCCAGATTTAATTGTCCTACAGTGTCAGTACAATAACAGCACATGTTCTCACCTGTGAACAGAGGCCATCAACCTGGTTTTTCTTGGCAGGCGGCAATACAGCCAGATAAGACCAACATCTGCAGCTCAGTCCCCAGTGAATGTGAGGAGTGTGAGGCACAGAAGGAATTAGCTCTTTGATTCGTGCTGTCTTCTCTGGAGAAGAGAGGGATTAGGATGGTGCAAGGAGAGGCAGTGGCAGTGTCTTGTAGAGGTGGATTAAAATCCTGCTGTTGCTGCTGAGTGAAATCGGCACAGCGTCCACTCCATCGTACATAGGAGACCTCTTTGCCACATCACGCAGCAGCTGTATCAGCTTGCTGCCGGTTGTCAGCATCTGCTGATGGGACCAATGCAGGGCTTGGATGTTTAAGGGATGGAAAGGGTTGGGGCAGCAAAGCTCAGTGAGCTGAAAACTGGAGTCTTGCCTGACATGCTGAGGTAATGATGGGCTTGGGCTGTTCTTTTCAGTGAGGGGGAAAGGCAGTCTGCAATATGCTCATAATAGGCACCTGGTACTGGTGGGTTTTGAGGGTCATCCAGTTCTGGTAAATGGAAGACAGTCCCTGGTGACCTAGTCATGGCAGTAAGATTGCTAATTAAGCACATAACTATTCTGCCTCTTCTCCCCATCTTTTCTATTGGAACAAGAGGTTGTGCTGTGTTTAACTCTGACACTTGTTTTGTCTTCTGCTAGGCTGTTCGAAAGTACTGCCCACATCATGTGGGCCATTACTTAGGCATGGATGTTCATGATACCCCAGATGTATCCCGATCGCTCCCACTTCAGCCAGGCATGGTGATAACCATTGAACCAGGTAAGAAGATATGCAGTCACTGGTGGACAAAAACATGAAGGCACTGAGCATAACAGTACCGCTTTGAATAGTTCAGCCCTCAGACCAAAGCATTCAGGTTCTTTCTGGTGAAATTGAGAATTGCAATATTAGAAAACTTTAAGTTATTCCCCTCCCAAAATCATTACAGTATTAGGAAACCTTACTTCCCTCCCAGACACAGACAAGGTTACAAATTGTGGCAGCAAAGTCTCAGAAAGAGTCTGTGCAGCAGGAGGCAGAGTAGCATAGACCTCAGACTGCTCATGTTTGACCCACAGCAGCACAGGTCAATAGCAGTGCAGAGAACCAAGCTAAATTCACTTGTGCTGTGGTCTGTGTTACTGTGACTGAAATGCTACCAGTCACTAGTAGTGCAAGTCTCAAGCACTGCAGTCTGCAATTACAGGCATTCACAATTTAGCTTTGCAAATTAGGCATTTCACGATGAATCTTTCTTTCTGCTTGTCACTGGATTTGGAGCTGTCAGCTGGAGACTGATATTTAATGCTTGGCTCTTCTCTTTCTCTATTCAGAACATTGTTAAAATCATTATTGTGAACATAGCATTGAAAGCAAGAAGTGTGGAAAGGCCAGCTGTAATTGTGGAAGTTTTTATTAACACGCTAGTGTCTGTAGGCACTGAAGTTCACTTTCCTTTCTTTGCCCACCAGCTGCCATGAGTGAGGGGAAAGAGAGTAGCTTTCCTTATTAAAAATTTTCAGGATCAAACTCATGTTATGTTGCTGAAGATCCAACCCTGCTCTCATGGTGGTGCAGTAAGGGAAAGGTGTTGTTATGGAGAGTGTTGTGTGTTTTAATTCCCTTCCTTCTTTCAGGCATTTACATCCCTGAGGATGATGCGAGTGCCCCAGAGAGGTTTCGTGGCATTGGTGTGCGCATTGAGGATGATGTTGTGATAACAGAGGATGCGCCTCTCATCTTGTCTGCTGACTGTCCCAAGGAGATCTACCACATCGAGCAGATCTGTGGCCGCAGCTCATGATGCCCCTTCTCTGCCTCTTTTATCCTCCTCAGGGGACACAGTCCTGCAGGGATGCAGATCCCTGTAGTTGGCTGTAGTTGGCAAGCGATGGAGGATGTGGACAGTTGATGGCTTTTTCCAAGACTGGGGCTCGGAAGTGGAATGCAAAAGGCTTGAGTACTGAGGGATGAAAAAGCAAAGCAACCTCTTCTGTGTGCATTTTTTTTCTGATTTGATTAGTGCTGATGTTGAGCTGTTGTAGGACATGGGGGTGGATTCATCCCTCTGCTTTGTGGATCCATCTGTTCTGGTGCCCTCCAGGATGAATTTTGTCAGTGCCACCAGCAGGGCTTCTGCCTGGTCCCTCTCCAGATGCATAGGTGCAACTGCTGAGACCAGGGCCCCATTATATCCCCTTTAGCAGTAGTTTCACAACAGTCAGATTTTAAAAATGAAGCTTTGATAAATGCTGTTTTGGGGGAATAAAGTGTGGCAGACAGGTTTGATTTTTATAGAGCCCTGGAAGGAGGGGGTTTGGTAGTCAGGAAGATGGGTTTGGTTGGGAGGTAGTTTTATCTGAAGCCTGTGGAGAATACTTTTAGAATTTTAAGGATAAGGATGTGCTTGTGCCTGGTTTAGCCTATGCAAAATAGTCCAACAGCAGGGAAAAACATCTCTCTGCAATTTTAGCTTATTGGAGTGTTTAGTAAATTTCAGAAAGGACAGATAGGGCTCAGGAGGTTGGACACCCATTCTTGCTGTCTTCCACATTCCCTTCTTTTTTTCCTTAATGTCCATTCCAGTCTCCTGTTCCAAGCCCACCTCTATCCTGGGAGGCAGGGCCATATTGGCTGTGCTGGACTCCACTGGTGAGCTGCTGGTTGTCACCTAGATGTGAGGTATCTGATTCTCAGACAGTCACAGCACCTTTCTCGTTCATGCTGTAAGTGCCAGCAACTTCAGCAGTGTATTTTTGAAGAGTCTGCCCTATGGCGAGTCTCAAGTCTTTATACAGCTTTTCTATGGAATTTAAAGTAATTATTTTCAAAACTCTTGAGGGCATGATCACAGCTGTCTTTTGCATTTTACCAAGCGCAGTCAGTAACTAATGCTCTGTGATAATATTTTTGAGGCAGCTGCAAATGTGATTAGGGCTAGGATGGATGAGGAGTAAAGAGAAGAGTTGTCTTCCCTCAACATTAGCCTACCAGCCAGGCCATTGTATGCAGTAGTAAATACACATACTAGAGCCAAATGCGGCGTCTGTGTATTTACTGAAAATATTTTGACAATCAGCTATTTAACATGTCTGAAAAATGCCTCTCATCAGTGCATCTCCTGTTATTTATGCTTGGTTTTGCATCACATCATCTTACTTCCTTTCTGATGGTAGCTTTCACTATTTTTTGTCTGTTATTCTCAATTTTCGTTCTTCTTCTCTTCCTATGTTGTCTATTTTTGACCCACTATAATGTCACTGCTTCCTCATCCATTTTGCTTTCTAATCAATGTCACTGCCTCTTCCCCAGTTTGCCCTAATTCCCCACAGTGAATGTACTCAGAAGCATGTGGGGGAAGGTAGTCAGGGTTCCTGAGTTGTACTCTGTTGCTGTGTAACCTCTAGTGAAATCTGCTTTTTTCTTTTCCTCTCTGTTTTTTTTTCTCCGGTCGTTCTTTTCATTTAGCGAAGGCCAAATGGACAGTGTCTGGCATCTCTCATTGCTTTTAATGGGAGCTGGGTGCATGCACAGGAGTCTGAATTCAGCACTTGGAAGGGAGCCAAAGACATGCCGTAATTTTATTTTTTAAACATGATGAAAAGTGAATGCTTTTCAGAGTTCAGTATATCAAGTTTCACCTGTTTAGAAGAATCTGCTAATTTTTGGTGCAAGCGTTTGTTAGATGCTCCTGTATTACAGTGATACGTACAGTGTAAATTGTTAGAAGATAGGCTTGTTAACTGTGGACACAGAACAACTGGTGAATACTTTTGATGTTGTTCTGATCTGTAACGCATTTGTTTTTCCTATTACACCTGTTCGAGCCATGTCAACTGGGACAAATCTTGGATTTTGGAACTATGTAAGCAGCTTAAAATAACATTAACCTGAAAGGTACGTGCATGTGCTGATCTGTACATCTGCCCGTGTACCGAACAGAGTTAATAATTGTACTTACTGTAAATAAGCCTTTGAAATACATATAAAAAAATATTTTTAAAATAAAACAATTTGTAGAAAGCAATTTCTCAGGCCATCGAGTTACATGGCTATTGAATAGATCTAAGCACCTCCAGAAAGAGCATTATTTTTCAGGGAGATTTATAAATTATCTGTAACCTGTCTTGGACTTGAAATAACATTGTCAAATGCAGGCACACATTAATTCCTACTCTCAGGAAAATCCAGCAACTTGCAAACACCAGTAGGTCTTAGGAATGTTGCGGATGAATGTTTCTGTCAGTAAAGAAGTGTTTGTGACTGCTGAGTGGGGAGTAACGGATCTGCTGGGGCTAGTGTGCTCCACCATGCTAAGTGTGTCTTGATTTAGGCTGTGCATAGCTCCATATTCTGTAATTCTTCCACAGTGTTCAGCCATTTCTTTAGCATAAACTTCTGCAAATGTTTTGAATCTCCTGTTCCATATAAAGAAGAGTGCATTTTGCAGAATGTATTAAATTTGAGTCTTATCAACCTGAATTTTTGAAGGCTTTTTCTCACTTGTTGCAGGGGTGGATAATCAGAGTATCGTCTAGGACCTACACACATGCTGCAGTGTCCCTTGAACACAACCAAATCCGTTAACATTTTACATGACCTTCGTCAAGAAACTCTAAAGAATCCCCTGTCTGGCTGCAGATACCCGTGGTGTACCTCCCTAATGGCCGCTCCCATACTGCCAGATTTACCGTCCGTCTCTGCCACAGAAGAGATTCCTCGCTCCAAGCACTTGGGTGCAGGAGCAGCTCCTGGTGGCAGCACAAGTTGCCAGCTTGTGGTGGGGGCCCTCTGGTGAGGGCATTGGTGGGATCACTGGAAGCGAAAGAGAAATTCAGGTATATGCAAGGTCGCTTGGGGAGGGATTTTACTGCAACTATGGCACAGGTCTTAAGGGCATCGGAGTACGAGAGAAGATTTTTCAAACAAGAGCCAGTGATCCCTCTGGAGAAGCAGCTTTGCTTTCAGAGGAAGCTCGGGAGGCTTTTCTTGGCTTTCCCCTTTCACCTTCTACCAGGAGCCTGCTTTGCCTTGCAGAGAACTAGTTAGTAGTAAAGTCCCGTTGTTAAAAGTACAGTCTGAGCAGAGGTGCTAATTTGCAGATATACTGCTGTCATCAAAGAGGAAAGAAATTCAGCATTTAACACAATTTAGCATTCTGTCTCTGTTATCTGTGAAAAATACAGTATGTCTTCTCTAAAATTGCATTAATTATTTTGCAAAGGAACCTGATGGCGTAGGAAGAAGCAAACTGAGGGAGCACATGAAAGAGAGTGGAGATGGAGGTCTTTGGGAATGTACAAAGCAACAGAGAAGATTCCGGAGAAGGGTGTGATTTGGAGCTGTGGGGATGCGTGCGGGTGGATGTGAGAGCAAGGAGAGAACAACAGGGTATAAAATGGCTATTCGGTATGTTTTCAGAGTGTGCAATAGCTCCAGGAAGCTGGTTATGCTAACCAGGAGACCCTGATTGATTTGTCCTACTCAGGAGGGGGCAACAAAGGACTCGGATTGTATTGATGAACTTGGTCTTAACAGTAGTTTAATAATTTCTTTTAAAAATCAATAGAATTATCATATGAGAAAGTTTTCTGCAGTTTTATGTTATTGATCATGTGTCATATTTTAAATAATGTGAAGGGGAAAAAGTAAGTTTCTAGGCAAAATCTTCGTTATGATGGAGGGAGCAAGGCTGAGATTACATGCTTTTATGCTACCAGAATTACCGCTGTGGAAATCTAGTAATTACTCCCAGGGGAATTACCATAAAGCATAAAGAGCTAGGGTTAAACTCAGAAAAAAAAAAATCTACGTGAGATAAATGACAAAAATGCTTTAGTTATGATGAGATGCTTAATACTTTGTGTAACTGGATAATGAAACTCTGCACTGCAGTAGATCAACATTTTTTATTTCTTTTAACCACAGTTGTCCAGAAGCCTATATAGGCATCTCTTCATTAGTATGCAGATCTAAACTGCATTTAAGTTTATAATTTTCTGAGATCGTTACAGCATCTCCGTTAAATGTGCTCCCTACATGCATGATCAGCCTCCACTTGATTAAAAATCATTTGGACACTGTCACAATGCTGGCTCTAGGAGTGGGTCTGACTTACAAAATTCTTAGTATTTCAGGGGTATAACACTAAGTTACATTTCAAAGCAGAATTTACAATCAAAATGGATAGTGAGGCACGGTGGGCTCCGTGACGCTCAGTTTGTCCCCTCAGCTCCTTTCACCTTCTTTGGAGTATGTCTTGCTGTCTTAACCAGCTGCCAGCTCTGAGCCTTCCTCACCAGCAGCAAGTGGAGCAATGAACTCCTATCTTCTGGGACAAGTTATGCCTCAGCCCACCTGGTTGTTTCTCTGAAGCACCACTGGACGTTTGGCTAATGAAAACCAGATTCTCCAGAAGGTGGGCAGAAAGGAACAAGGAAGAATTTCTAGGTCCTCCATGCGTGTTACCTTCTCTTGCTGACTCATACCACGTATACCTTTTTAACGACCATGACAGAGTTATCCATTAACGATGGCAAAGAAGAAAATAATTCCTGTCTGGGTAAAAAAAAGTTAACAAGAAAGATGGTTGTAGGTGCAGGAGTGAGAACGGCTACTCTAGGGTTCAATATGTTCCTTCTCCTTGGATGCTGGGGAAACAAGTAGCACTGCAGGAGTGACGTACAGTCTCGGTTTGGGAGCTTCTTGGGAATGCTGGTCTTGGATATGCTGCAGTGGGCCAGGACGACGATGGTTGAAGCTCTGTGTTGGTTTTCCCAAGACCATGAAGAGCTTGTGGCTTTTTAAAGGAATCTTGTTTTTTCATTATTTGGGCAGGAATATCATGGCAGCAGAAGGTGGGAACACTCAGCTTGTGGTTCAATAATGAACTAGGAGAAGTTGGCAGTCCAACAAAAACTGGTTGAAATGCACCTCTTTCCAGGGAAGTAGGCTCACTGCGTTTTTTTTTGTCAGTAAATTGGGCCAGTATGAACAATATTGTGTGAAGGGGAGAGAGACTCTTGCTTTTTTTTATTCCTAGGCAGAAAAGGTTTCTGCTTCTATGTCCACTTTTGA